CTCAGCCCCTCTTATAGCGTTGTTAGCTGCAGGTGAAGATTGAAGTTTGTCCCTTGTTGGAACATGGAGATGATGTTCCTGGTTGGAACATGTTTACTTGTTGGGATATCACAATATATCTTATTTAATTAATGCATCTATATACTTGGTAAAGGGTGGAAGGCTCGGCCTTATGCCTGGTGTTTTGTTCCACTCTTGCCGCCCTAGTTTCCGTCATATCGGTGTTATGTTCCCGGATTTTGCGTTCCTTACGCGGTTGAGTAATAATGGGAACCCCTTGACAGCTCGCCTTGAATAAAACTCCTCCAGCAATGCCCAACATAGGTTTTACCATTCGCCACCTAGCCTTTTCCTTTCCCTTGGGTTCTGCAGACTCAAGGGTCATCTTTATTTTAACCCCCCCGGGCCAGTGCTCCTCTGAGTGTTGGTCCAAACTAGAGTCCTGTGCAGCGCCCCCTCGGGGAAACTCGAGGTTTGGTTTTAGTTGTATGGAGAGCTCATCTGAGTGTGCCCTGAGAACGAGATATGTGCAGTTCCTATCGGGATTTGTCGGCACATTCGGGCGGTGTTGCTGGTTTAGTTTTACCATTGTCGAAATGTCTTGTAACCGGGATTCCGAGTCTGATCGGGTCTTCCCGCTAGAAGGAATATCCTTCGTTGACCGTAAGAGCTTGTGATGGGCTAAGTTGGGACACCCCTGCAGGGATTTAAACTTTCGAAAGCCGTGCCCGCGGTTATGGGCAGATGGGAATTTGTTAACGTCCGGTTGTAGAAAACCTGAAGTTGACCTTAATTAAAATGCATCAACCGCGTGTGTAACCGTGATGGTCTCTTTCCGGCGGAGTCCGGAAAGCGAGCACGGTGTTGGAGTAATGCTTGACGTAGGTTGTTCTAGGATCACTTCTTGATCATGGTTTCTCGATCGTGCTTTGCCTTCTCTTCTCGCTCTCTTTTGCGAATAGGTTAGCCACCATATATGCTAGTCGCTTGCTGCAGCTCCACCCCATACCTTTACCTTACCCATAAGCTTAAATAGTCTTGATCACGAGGGTGCGAGATTGCTGAGTCCCCGTGGCTCACAGATACTTCCAAAACCAGTTTGCAGGTGCCGATGTTACCGAGCAGGTGACGCAACCAAGCTCAAGGAGGAGCTCGATGAAGATCTTGTCTTTTATGTTGATCCGCTTCCAGTTGATCAGTAGTGGAGCCCAGTCGGGACGATCGGGGATCTGTGTAGCATTTGGGGTAGTCTTCTTTTATTTTGGTTCCGTAGTCGGACCTTGATTGTATTTGGATGTTGTAATGCTTATTCATGTAATTGTGTGAAGTGGCGGTTGTAAGCCAACTATGTATCTCTTTCCCTTATGTATTACATGGGTTGTGTGAAGATTACCTCACTTGCGACATTGCTTTCAATGCGGTTATGCCTCGAAGTCATGCTTCGACACGTGGGAGATATAGCCGCATCGAGGGCGTTACATGGTGCCATGATAACCTCCCGGACATGTTCTAGGAAATCCTCAGCCGGCCATCCGGGTTGTGCCCCTCCCTTTGGGTGGTGATGTGCTCTCTCGCTTGGACCTCATCGACTGTGCGCAATAAACTAGTGATTGAGCATGTGATTCCGACTCGTGCGGCTGACGCGATATTCAAACTGTGTGGTTTCTTACAGCTGTGGAGACCGCTTAGCAAGCGGAGTGACCGGGACAATCTTGACATGATCATTGCGGGTCTTCATTCCACCGCCACATCCATCGCGCCGCCACCCCACCTCCTTCGTCTTTCCCAGATTAGCTAGTTGGCTGCGTCCTTTATTGGGTTTTGTTGTGTGGTGCCCCAAGCTGAACCTAGTTACACTCTTTTCTTTTCTTTTCTTTTCTTTTGGTTGTGTTTGAACCTCGAACTCATTGTTGTTGTCGGATGTTGTCGGTGCGGTTGCTTTATAATCTAAAGTGTGGGGAAACCCTTTTTCGTCAAATACAACATGAACCATGACATGCACAGAAGAATTCAAATTTTTGATTCTCAGTATTTGTATTTTCATGTTTATTTTAACATTTCATAATTTTAGATGTATGTTATATCAGTGCCTCAAAATAGCAAGGAGATCTACAACGAGGCTTAGATGGAAACATTGTGGAATAATTTCCTGTTTTGTTGATTTTAATTTTCTCGCTAATATCAAATCATCGGAGTTTATTTCCACATTTATGGTTCAGATCGATGTGAAAAACATTTTTTTTTCTTAGGCACATGTTTTTATGCAAGAACAAGTTCTTGTCTTGATTTTGTTTTCTTGTGTTGAAAGATTGCTGAGACCAGAGCAAGCCAGAGGACAAAAGCAGAAACCAGAGCAAGCCAAAACTAGCCAAAATTTAAGAACTGGTAACAAAGAATGGCAAAGCCAACACAGAGCAAAACTCCTACGGCTACGGTTGAGGATTAAATTATTTTCCAATTCTAAGTTGAGATTGATGTGAAAACAAGTTGATCACGACATTTTTAATGTTCCACCATACGTCTCTAAAGGTTTGGTTAGACAACATAAAACGGAAAGAACTCATCATGCCACAACTCTCTACTTAGTTGAGAATGGGATGGGTTAGAAATTAGTTTTTTTTCTTGCGAATACGCAAAGCTTGCGTATCATTTCATTGATAGAATAAGATAGAACGAGTACATAAACTAGTTAGTTTGAGGCTAAGTTTGTAACGGTCGAAATGCTAAATTATCTTATAATTTGATGTGGAAAATACCCATAAAAAGGCTAATTAAAATCGGTGAATGGAACTAAAAATCTGCGACAAGCTAGTCTATTCTTTAATAGCATAATTTTTTTAACAGAGAAGAAGCCAAAAAAGCATTTCTCAAGCTCAAAAGTGCTATGGTATGGTGATGCCTTTGAACGTTGACTGGGAGAGCGGCTCGAAAGAGCAGGCAGAAGACTTGTTGTTTTTATTAATTAAGAGGAGAGTGAGAATTGCCTGTTTAATTAACCGGAAAGCGGGTTAAAATCAATACAACCTACCCCACATAACATGAGCACTATCCCACATAACATGAGCACGAGCGACCGACCTGGCCACTGACAAGGAAACCATAAAGGATGGTTACAACAGAATATTAGAGAGGTATACATCCCCACGTGACTTTAACACTGAACCTGGTGTTGGATGCTTGATCTAGACATGATAGGGATCAACTCCTCTGCAACGTTCACCAGATGAGACAAAACGATCTCTGTTTTGTTTCCTTCTTGCAGAACTGTGGCAAGCACATTGCTTCCATGCGCGCACGTAGGATTCCTTCGACCTCACGCAACTGCGATGACACACCAATATACGCAATGGTCAATTCAGTCATCCGTGAACAGCTCAACTCCAGTGTTCTGGTGTGGAGTTCAGCATAAGGCATTTCAGTGGTCCGATATGGCTGGATGTAATGAGCTAACTCCAAAGGGGAGACGTTCATGTTTTCTTCTTCAAAACGGGAAGTATCTGAAAGAGGAAGTCCAAAGAGTAGAGGACGGGAAGGGCTAGAAATTAGCTAGTTTGAGGCAAAGTTTGTGACTGTCGAAATGCTAAATTATCTTACAATTTGATGTAGAAAATACCTATATAAAGGCCGAGTTTGTGATTGCTAAACTATGGATTTTTTTAATTTAATGAGGAAAAATAGTCATGAAATATGCAAAAGTAAGCTATTCCATACATTTAAATAAGCAAAAGTAATCGATGAATGGAACTAGCAAAATCTGTGATGATGCCAAGCTAGTCTATTCTTTGATAGCGTACTTTTTTTTAACGAAACAAAAGACATGTTATTTTCATTAATTAAGAAGAGAGTAAAAATTGCCTGCTTAATTAACAACAAACCAAATTAAAATTGATACAATAGCCCACGTAACAAGAGCACCGGCGAGCGACCTGGCCACTGACAAGCAGACCACGGAGGATGGTTACAACAAAATATTATGGTCCAGTTTTTTGGCTAATTCTCCCAGAATCTTGAGAATTGACACTTCACTCAGCTTCTTTCAGAATCTTATACCCATATATATTTTTTACAATCCTAACTGTTTACATCCTAACTAGCTAGGATTGTAAAAAAAAAATGCATATTCAAGATTCTGGGAGAAGCTGGGTGAATGATTGATTCTTAAGATTCCAAAAGAATTGGCCAAAAAAACTGGGCCTACATGTCCACGTGACTTTAACACTGAACCTGCTGTTGGACGCTTTCTCTAGACATGCTAGGGATCACTCCTCGTGCTTTGGCGATGACGGTACCTCTGCAACGTTCAACAGATGAAACAAAACGATCTCTGCTTTGTTTCCCTCTTGCAGAACTGTCGAAAGCACATTGCTTCCATGCGCTCGTACGGTTCCTTCGACCTCACGCAGCTGCGATGACAAACCAATAAACGCAATGGTCAATTCATTCATGCGTGACCTACTCAACTCCATCGTTCTGTTAGAGTTCAGCATAAGGCATTTCAATGGTCAGATATGGCTGCACGTAATGAGCTAACTCCAAAAAGGGGACGTTCATCTTTTCTCTTCAACTGCTGAGAGAAGTCCACAGAAGAGAGCTGCTGGTCTCACTGGGTTGGCACGCGCGTAGCAGCTTCGAAGAGGCTCTTCGCAGCCTGTACAACTTGCAGCAACTATATAAGGCAGCACCATCGGATCCTGATCTATCACCTTCAACAAGCTCGTCTACAATCCAGCAAACTAGCTAAAACCCACTTCCCCAAAATGGCGTCCCAGCTTGTCGAGAGCCACCGCGCCGGTGCCGAGGTCCACAAGGGGAACGATATCTGCAAGAAGAAGACGGTCGAGCTTCTCGAAGAGCTCGGCCTCCCGAAAGGCCTCTTTCCTATGGATGACATCGAGGAGGTCGGGCACAACTGTGAGAGTGGGTTCGTGTGGATACTTCAAAAGAATAAGAAAGAGCACATGTTCAACAAGCTCAACCAGACCGTCTTCTACGACACTGAGGTGACCGCTTTTGTGGAAAAGGGCAAGATGAAGAAGGTCACCGGGGTCAAGGTCGAGGAGTTTTCTTTGGTCGAGGTCTATGTGGATGAGTCTTCTGCTGATAAGGTCACCATCAAGACCGACACCGGCCTGTCTGACACCCATGATGCGGCCGTGTTCGCTCTCGGAGAATAGGGAGCTACTAGTTAAAAAGGCCAGAAGAATAAAGTTAGTGAATGGTTCGGCACTGCAGTTCACATGTTATGCAGAAGTATATGTTTCCGTTTTCTTTGTAATCTAATAAAGGTTGTTGCATGAGTATTGCTTCCTTTCAGCCCATGTTATGCAGAAATGTATGTTTCTGTTTTCGTTGTAATGTAATAAAGGATGTTGCATGAATGTTGCTTCCTTTCAGCCTGTAAGCATACGCCAAATGTAATGAATAATACTTATACCGCCTCCTATATCCCACATCGACCACTCTCAACTTCCCACTGTTGTCCCTATCTTTGTGTCTGAGAGAATAAGGGCCTTATCAACAAATAATTAAGCAAGGCTTTGAAATACAACATGAACCATGACATGCACAGAAGAAATCTAATTTTGATTCTCGAAAACTGAAATTTCATGTTGATTTTAACATTTCATAATTTTAGATGTACATGTTATAGCAGTGTCTAAAAAGAAAGAGATCAACAGCAAGGCTCAAATGGAAACATTGTGGAATAATTTCCTGTTTTGTTGATTTTAATTTTCTCGCTAATATCAAATCGTTGAAGTTTATTTCCACATTTATGGTTCAAATCGATGTGAAAAACTATTTTTTAGACACATTTTTATGCGAAAACAAGTTCTTGTCTTGATTTTTTTTCTTGTGTTGACAGATTGCTGAGAAAATGCAAAGGAAGAAAAGAGAACAAAAACAGAAACCAGAGCAAGCCAAAACTAGCCAAAATTTAAGAACTAGTAAAAGAGAATGGCAAAACCAACACAGAGCAAAACTCCTACTGCTATGGTTGAGGATTAGATTATTTTCTAATTCTAAGTTCAGGTTGATGTGAAAACAAGTTGCTCACAACATTTTTAATGTTCCACCATTACATCTCTAAAGGTTTGGTTACAGACATCATAAAACGGAAAGCACTCATCATGCCACAACCCTCTACTCAGTTGAGAACGGGAAGGATTAGAAATTAGTTAGTTTGAGGCTAAGTTTGTGACTGTTGAAATGCTAAATCATCTTACAATTTGATGCGGAAAATACCTATAAAAAGGCTAAGTTTTTGATTGCTAAACTATGGATTTTCAAATTTAGTGAGGAAAAACAGCCATGAAATATGCAAAAGTAAGCTATTCCATACATTTAAATAGGCAAAAATAATTCGGTGAATGGAACTGCCAAAATCTACGACGATGCCAAGCTAGTCTATTCTTTAATAGCATAGTTTTTTAACCAGGCAGAAGACATGTTATTCTCATTAATTAGGAAGAGATTGAGAATTGCCTGCTTAATTAACGTGAAACCGGGTTAAAATCGATACAACCTAACCCACATAACATGAGCACGAGCGACCAACCTGGCCGCTGACAAGGAGACCACGGAGGATGGTTACAACAGAATATTAGAGAGGTATACATCTCCACGTGACTTTAACACTGAACCTGCTGTTGGATGGGGGAAGATTTGTATAGGATCTGTCCTTACGTGAGATCAATGAGATCCATCATTTTGAAGTAAAAAACATGTTAAAAAGTGCTTTAAAAAATTGGAGAGATACATCCATGTTTTATGTACAAGCTCAAAAAGTTTCAGCTCCTAATTCGAACTACACTTAGAGAATAGTTCTAGACATGCTAGGGATCAAATCCTCGTGCTTTGGCCATCACGGTACCTCTGCATCGTTCACCAGATGAGACAAAACGATCTCTGCTTTGTTTCCTTCTTGCAGAACCGTGGCAAGTACATTGCTTCCATGCGCGCACGTACGATTCCTTCGACCTCACGCAGCTGCGATTGACATACCAATATACACAATGGTCAATTCAGTCATCCATGACCAGCTCAACACCAGTGTTCTGGTGTGGAGTTCGGCATAAGGCATTTCAACGGTCAGATATGGCTGGACGTAATGAGCTAGCTCCAAAAGTTTGGAGACGTTCATTTTTCTTCTTCAAAACAGGAAGTATCTGAAAGAGGAAGTCCACAGAGGAGAGCTGCCGGTCTCACTGGGCTGGCGTGCGCGTAGCACCTTCGAAGAGGCTCTTCGCAGCCAGTACAACTAGCAGCAACTATATAAGGCAGCACCAACGGATCCTGATCTATCACGTTCGACAAGCTCATCTACCAATCCAGCAAACTAAAACCCACTTCCCCAAAATGGCGTCCCAGCTTGTCGAGAGCCACCGCGCTGGTGCCGAGGTCCACAAGGGGAACGATATCTGCAAGAAGAAGACGGTCGAGCTTCTCGAAGAGCTCGGCCTCCCGAAAGGCCTCTTTCCTATGGATGACATCGAGGAGGTCGGGCACAACTGTGAGAGTGGGTTCGTCTGGATACTTCAGAAGAAGAAGAAAGAGCACACGTTCAACAAGCTCAACCAGACCGTCTCCTACGACACTGAGGTGACCGCTTTTGTGGAAAAGGGCAAGATGAAGAAGGTCACCGGGGTCAAGATCGAGGACCTGTCTTTGGTCGAGGTCTATGTGGATGAGTCTTCTGCTGATAAGGTTACCATCAAGACCGACACCGGTCTGTCTGACACCCATGATGCGGCCGTGTTCGCTCTCGGAGAATAGGGAGCTACTAGTTAAAAAGGCGAGAAGAATAAAGTCAGTGAATGGTTCGGCACTATGGTTCACATGTTATGCAGAAGTATATCTTTCCGTTTTCTATGTAATCTAATAAAAGGCTGCTGCACGAATGTTGCTTCCTTTCAGCCCATAGTGTTCACCAAATGAATGAATAACACTTATACCCCCACCTATATCCCACATCGACCACTCTCAACTTCCCACTGTTGATCTATCTTTGTGTGTGAGAGAGAATAAGGGCCTTAATTAAGCAAAGGCTGTAAAATACTTCCTCCATCCCATAATATAAGATCATTTTCCAAGCTGTTTTAGCTTGTAAAACGATCTTCTATTGTGGGATGGAGGGAGTACAACATTAACTATGACATGCACAAAAGAATTCAAATTTTGATTCTCGGTATCTCGATTTTCATGTGTTGATTTTAACATTTCATAATTGTAGATGTATGTTGTGTCAGTGTCTCAAACAAACAAGGAGAGCGACAGCGAGGCTGGGATGGAAACATTGTGGAATAATTCCTGTTTTGCTGATTTTATTTTTCTCGCTAAAATCAGATAATCGGAGATTATTTCCAGATTCAAGGTTAAGATCGATGTTAAAAACATTTTTGGTTTTCTTAGGCACCTATTTTTATGCGAAAACAACTTCTTGTCTTGAATTTTTTTGTATTAAAAGATTGCTGAGAAGATGCAAAGGAAAGAAAAACGAGTCAAAAGCAGAAACCAGAGCAAACCTCAACTAGCCAAACCCTAAGAGCTACCAAAAGTGAATGGGAAAACCAACAGAGGAAAACTCCTACTGCCATGGTCGAGGCTGCATGATCATCAGATTATTTTCTCATTCTAAGTTCAGCTTGATGTGAATTGCTCACGGCACTTTAAATATTCCATCACTACATCTCTAAAGGCTTGGTTTCAGCCAACATAAAACACAAAGAACTCACCCTCTACTCAGATGAGAACGGGATGCGCTAGAAATTAGTTAGTTTGAGGCTAAGTTTGTGACTGTTGAACTGCTAAATTATCTTACAATTTGATCTGGAAAAAAGCTATAAAAAAGCTAAGTTTGTGATTGCTAAAATATGGAATATATATTATTAATTTGGTGAGAAGAAACGGCTCTGAAATATGCAAAAGTAAGTTATTCCAAGCAGTTAAATAGGCAAAAATAATTTGGTGAATGGAACTACCAAAATCTACGGCGACACAAGGCTACTCTGTTCTTTGATAGCATGGCATAATTTGACGGCTACTGGAAACGAATGCAAGATGCAGGAGAGGAACTTTGGGAGATGTTGAATATACCTGCATGATATAATCAGGCCTGTTAGACTGCTACATTGTATACTTTCTCAGTCTATGTGAAAACAAGCTCAGCGTTTGGTGGATTTCTCAATTTAAGTTACTTGCTACGAAGCAAAGCAGATCCTTATGCTTCAGGAGCCAGTGGAGATGCTCGTTCCTCTTGGAACGGCGCACGAGCGCATTGAGAGGTGCTTTGTGTGCCAGCAATACTAACCGAAGGTTGTGCGCCACATCCTCGAATATCCAGTTCTGTCAATATGGCAAGCATATGTAATCGGCTGGCCATGAATGGCTGACTTTCTATGACCCCCATACTGTCAGATGATAAAGATGAAAGATCCATCTCCAACCTCTCGAGACACTCATCCATCTTTTTCAGCAGGTTCGTCGACATTTCATGCAACTCCCACACCCATGTGTCGGTACGCTTACACTCCCTGCTGTACATATTCTTTGGCATCCAGAGGAGTACCTGCTGGCGCAAGATTTCAAAGAAGTTTGAGAGCTCCTCAAGGTCTGTCCTTGACACCATCATGGAATCTGATCCAAGTCCATCCAGAACCAATTCGACAATTTCATTGGCAAACGGGAGGACCTGCTCGATCACCTTGGTAGGAGAATTGGAGGCAACGAGCCCTGAGAGTGGCAAGCAGAGCACCGATGCAAGTGTATGACGGCATGACTTGTAGAGGCGATCCTTGTTGCCCGCGGTCAGAGAAAGCAAGCGGCAGAATTCCAGGAGCACCGGCGCCGTGACGAGCATTACATTGGGCGGTAAGGTCGCAGGGTCAGTGCTGAGAAAGCACCTGATGGCGCGCTCGGCGTAGAAGCGCGAGGAGGAGAAATCTGAGAGGTAGAGGTGAACCAGCGCAATGGCGGCGCCGGACTGGAGGAAGATGTCGAGGTACTCCTGGGCGTGGTGCTGGGAGTTCTTGGTGTCGCCCTTGGCCCTGCGATCATTCCGGTTCTGCTCGTTGGCGTGGTCGCAGCAGAAGATGTACTCCTTGACGAGGTCTTCCAGGGTGTGGGCGGTGGCGGTGGCGGTGCCGGCGTCCCTGGAGGCGCCGGTGGCGGCGATGTG